AGTTTGTGTAACTTAAAGTTTTCAATGTAATCTGTTTACAATGTACATTGTATGGAAGCCCATTGGCGCCAATGTTACAGGGAAAAATAAATGATTCTGTAAGTAAGATTATTGACAAAATAATGACTTTGTGATACTAATTCAACATATGAGAAAGTTTCTCATAATTTTGAGAAAATAAGTGAAAATATTGTGAACGTTTTTCCTTATTTTGAGAAAATAAGTGAAAATATTGAGAAAGTTTCTCATTATTTTGAGAAAAATAAAAGTTTTTCATTATTTTGAAAAAAAATAAGTGAAAATATTGAGAAAGTTTTTCATAATTTTGAGAAAATAAGTGAAAATATTGAGAAAGTTTTTCATAATTTTGAGAAAATAAGTGAAAATATTGTGAAAGTTTCTCATTATTTTGAGAAAATAAGTGAAAATATTGAGAAAGTTTTTCATGATTTTGAGAAAATAAGTGAAAATATTGTGAAAGTTTTTCCTTATTTTGAGAAAATAAGTGAAAATATTAAGTTTCTCATAATTTTGAGAAAAAAAGTGAAAAATATTGAGGTTTTTCATAATTTTGAGAAAATAAGTGAAAATATTGAGAAAGTTTTTCATTATTTTGAGAAAGAAAATAAACGAAAATATTGTGAAAGTTTTTCCTTATTTTGAGAAAGTGAATAAGTGAAAATATTGTGAAAGTTTTTCCTTATTTTGAGAAAATAAGTGAAAATATTGAGAAAGTTTCTCATTATTTTGAGAAAATAAGTGAAAATATTGAGAAAGTTTCTCATTATTTTGAGAAATTAAGTGAAAATATTGAGTTTCTCATAATTTTGAGAAAATAAGTGAAAATATTGAGTTTGTCATAATTTTGAGAAAATAAGTGAAAATATTGAGAAAGTTTCTCATTATTTTGAGAAAATAAGTGAAAAAATTGAGAAAGTTTTTCATGATTTTGAGAAAATAAGTGAAAATATTGAGAAAGCTTTTCATAATTTTGAAAATATTGAGTTTCTCATAATTTTGAGAAAATAAGTGAAAATATTGTGAAAGTTCCTCATTATTTTGAGAAAATAAGTGAAACTATTGTGAAAGTTTTTCACTAATTTTGATAAAATAAGTGAAAATATTGAGTTTCTCATAATTCCTTTTTTGAGAAAATAAGTGAAAATATTGAGAAAGTTTTCATTATTTTGAGAAATTAAGTGAAAATTTGAGAAAGTTTTCATTATTTTGAGAAATTAAATTAGAAAGTTTCTCATTATTTTGAGAAAATACGTGAAAATATTGAGAAAGTTTTTCATTATTTTGAGAAAGAAAATAAGTGAAAATATTGAGAAAGTTTCTCATTATTTTGAGAAAGAAAATAAGTGAAAATATTGAGAAAGTTTTTCCTCATTATTTTGAGGATATCAGTGAAAATATTGAGAAAGTTCCTCATTATTTTGAGAAAATAAGTGAAACTATTGTGAAAGTATTTTCACTTATTTTGAGAAATTAAGTGAAAATATTGAGTTTCTCATAATTTTGAGAAAATAAGTGAAAATATTGAGAGTTTTTCATAATTTTGAGAAAATAAGTGAAAATATTGAGAAAGTTTTTCATTATTTTGAGAAAATAAGTGAAAATATTGAGAAAGCTTTTCATAATTTTGAAAATATTGAGTTTCTCATAATTTTGAGAAAATAAGTGAAAATATTGTGAAAGTTTTCATTATTTTGAGAAATTAAGTGAAAATTTTGAGAAAGTTTTCATTATTTTGAGAAATTAAGTGAAAATATTGAGAAAGTTTCTCATTATTTTGAGAAAATTTAAAAATAAGTGAAAATATTGAGAAAGTTTTTCATTATTTTGAGAAAGAAAATAAGTGAAAATATTGTGAAAGTTTTATATTTTGGGAAAATAAGTAAAATATTGGAAAGTTTCTCATTATTTTGAGGATATCAGGAAAATATTGAGAAAGTTCCTCATTATTTGAGAAAATAAGTGAAACTATTGAAAAGTTTTTCACTTATTTTGAGAAATTAAGTGAAAATATTGAGTTTCTCATAATTTTGAGAAAATAAGTGAAAATATTGAGAAAGTTTCTCATTATTTTGAGAAAATAAGTGAAAAATTGAGAAGTTTTCATGATTTTGAGAAAATAAGTGAAAATATTGAGAAAGCTTTTCAAATAAAAATTTTTCATAATTTTGAGAAAATAAGTGAAAATATTGAGAAAGTTTCTCATTATTTTGAGAAAATAAGTGAAAATATTGAGAAAGTTTTTCACTAATTTTGATAAAATAAGTGAAAATATTGAGTTTCTCATAATTTTGAGAAAATAAGTGAAAATATTGAGAAAGTTTTCATTATTTTGAGAAATTAAGTGAAAATTTTGAGAAAGTTTTCATTATTTTGAGAAATTAAGTGAAAATATTGAGAAAGTTTCTCATTATTTTGAGAAAATACGTGAAAATATTGAGAAAGTTTTTCATTATTTTGAGAAAGAAAATAAGTGAAAATATTGAGAAAGTTTTTCATTATTTTGAGAAAGAAAATAAGTGAAAATATTGTGAAAGTTTTTCATAATTTTGGGAAAATACGTGAAAATATTGAGAAAGTTTCTCATTATTTTGAGGATATCAGTGAAAATATTGAGAAAGTTCCTCATTATTTTGAGAAAATAAGTGAAACTATTGTGAAAGTTTTTCACTTATTTTGAGAAATTAAGTGAAAATATTGAGTTTCTCATAATTTTGAGAAAATAAGTGAAAAATATTGAGGTTTTTCATAATTTTGAGAAAATAAGTGAAAATATTGAGAAAGTTTTTCATAATTTTGAGAAAATAAGTGAAAATATTGAGAAAGTTTTTCATACTTTTGAGAAAATAAGTGAAAATATTGAGTTTCTCATAATTTTGAGAAAATAAGTGAAAATATTGAGAAAGTTTTTCCTTATTTTGAGAAAATAAGTGAAAATATTGAGAAAGTTCCTCATTATTTTGAAAAAATAAGTGAAATATTGAGAGTTTTCATTATTTTGAGAAATTAAGTGAAAATATTGAGAAAGTTTTTCCTTATTTTGAGAAAATAAGTGAAAATATTGAGAAAGTTTCTCATAATTTTGAGAAAAATAAGTGAAAATATTGAGTTTTCATTATTTTGAGAAATTAAGTGAAAATATTGAGTTTCTCATAATTTCGAGAAAATAAGTGAAAATATTGTGAAAGTTTCTCATTATTTTGAGAAAATACATGAAAATATTGAGAAAGTTTCTCATTATTTTGAGAAAATAAGTGAAAATACAAATTTTTTACTTTTTTTAAAATTAAGTGAAAATATTAATTAATAATTTTGAGAAAAAAGTAAAATTCTCATAATTTTGAGAAAATAAGAAAATTTAAATTAAAAAAGTGAAAATATTGAGAAAGTTTTTCATTTTTTTGAAAAAATAAGTGAAAATATTGAGTTTCTCATAATTTTGAGAAAATAAAAATATTTTTCTTTTTTGTGAAAATATTGAGAAAGTTCCTCATTATTTTGGAAAAAATAAGTGAAATATTGAGAGTTTTCATTATTTTGAGAAATTAAGTGAAAATATTGAGAAAGTTTTTCCTTATTTTGAGAAAAAAGTAAAATATTGAGAGTTTCTCATAATTTTGAGAAAAATAAGTGAAAAATATTGAGGTTTTTCATTATTTTGAGAAATTAAGAAAATATAGTTTCTCATAATTTCGAAAAAAAAATAAAAATATTGTGAAAGTTTCTCATTATTTTAAGAAAATACATGAAAATATTGAGAAAGTTTCTCATTATTTTGAGAAAATAGTGAAAATATTTTTTTTTTTTTTAAAAATAAAAAATATTAAGTTTCTCATAATTTTGAAAAAAAAAGATTTTCATAATTTTGAGAAAATAAGTGAAACTATTGAGTTTTTCCTTATTTTAAGAAAATAAGTGAAAATAGTGAAAGTTTTTCAGAAGTTTGAGAAAATAAGTGAAAATATTGTGAGTTTTTCCTTATTTTGAGAAAATAAGTGAAAATATTGAAGATATTTTAAAATAAGGAAAATATGGAAAGATTTTCATAATTTTGAGAAAATAAGTGAAAATATTGTGAGTTTTTCCTTATTTTAAGAAAATAAGTGAAAATATTGTGAGTTTTTCCTTATTTTGAGAAAATAAGTGAAAATATTGAGTTTCTCATAATTTTGATAAAATAAGTGAAAATATTGAGTTTCTAATAATTTTGAGAAAATAAGTGAAAATATTGAGAAAGTTTTTATTATTTTGAGAAAGTGAATAAGTGAAAATATTGTGAAAGTTTCTCATTATTTTGAGAAAATACGTGAAAATATTGTGAAAGTTTTTCATAAGTTTGAGAAAATAAGTGAAAATATTGAGTTTCTCATAATTTTGAGAAAATAAGTGAAAATATTGAGGAAGTTTTCATAAGAAAATAAAAATTGAGTTTTTCCTCATTTTAAAAATAAGTAAAATTTTGAGTTTAATTTTGATAAAATAAGTGAAAATATTGTTTTTTTTTTTTTTTTTTTTTTAAAATAAGTGAAAATATTGAAATGAAGGTTTTTTCATAATTTTGAGAAAATAAGTGATATAGTGAAATATTGAGTTTCTCTTTTTTTTTTAAATAAGTAAAAATATGTGGAATCATTCTCATTATTTTTGACTTGGTTTCTCATTATACTGACTTACAGAATATTTTGTCCCCCTTACATTGGCGTTAACAGGCTTCCGTAGCTCAGGACACTCGGTACAACTCAATAAAAAGCGAATAAACCAACAATCCAGTGTCAGTAAATGAGAGCTGACAGCTGCAGTGTTTAATAAATCTTATGATCACAGACCACCGTCACAAACACGGAGTCCGGTGACTCTCGTTGTCCACTGTGGCTGAAACTTGAATAAACTTGTGTGCGGTTCACTTCCTCGACATTTTGTGCCCTGTGCACACAGAGAGCCGCCGCCGCTGATAGGACGGTGGCCGGGCGGAGGCGGGTTATTAGTTCCACCATTTGTCCTGCCATTGGACCGGGTTTGATAGTGGGAAGTGCCCGTACGCCGGTGTCTCCCTGGTTGCGCAAGACGCCATTTTGGAGTGACAGTGAGAGATAACGGAAAGATCGAGAAGCTGTCTTTCTAAAAGGTAAAACTCCGCACCAACGTCTCCTCTCCCGCACGGCCCCGTCGTGTCGACCGACCGTTGGTCTGCGCGAGCGGCCCGCTCCGCGCGGCGTTTACCGTGACGTCACGGTGTTCTCTCGGCACTGTGACGCGGCACTTAGCTAACGGCGGCTACCGCTCGCTAGCTCGCCGAGGCAGTTCCTGTAACGGACAGAGCCGCCGCCGACGAGCTGTCACTGTGTGTGTGTGTGTGTGTGTGTGTGTGTGTGTGTGTGTGTGTGTGTGTGTGTGTGTGTGTGTGTGAGACAAACTCAACGATGCTCTTTCTTACATGTGAGCGTCGGATGTTACAGTAATGGCGTCGCCGTGTATTGTAAACCGACGGCGCTCTGTCGACCGTTGACCGTTGGTGTGTGTGTGTGTGTGTGTGTGTGTGCGCCCGTTGGCAGCGAGCTAACACGAGCTAACTAGCCGAAGCATCCGCCCTTAGTAATCTGCTTCGAGTGGCAGTCAGCAGCTAACGCCACCCGACATCGCCTGTAACGCGTATTTTAAAGTAATCAACGATTCCCGACACATTACCGGGGTTTGTTTGCCGTTTCTCCCGCGGGAACACGACGTTCAGACGGTCGTCGGTGCGTCGGTTGGTCGGTGTGTCGGTGTGTCGGCCTTCTTGCTGAGGTCGAGGTGTTGTTAGCATGCTAGCAGCTACAGTAACATTATCCGTGCAGCTAACAGGCCTTTCTTATCCGTTGATCAGTCTCTCTTTATCCCGGTTCCTCTGGCTCTGGTCGCGGATAATGTTTCATGTTTTATTACAAAATATGTGAATTTAACTGTATTATTGTGTGTTTTTTTGTGTTACCGTGCAGTTATTAGTCTTTACTCCACCCCACTGCCTCCTGAACAATGTTCCCTATCAGTCACTTTTAATCTTAAAGTTAATGCATTTTAGAAATTATAAATACATTATTCATCCCCGGGAATTAGTTGCGTTACAGTCGCTCAAATAACTACAAAAGACATAAGAAATATAAATAATAGGAATAATGTTAATATATGTGCTTTATATTGGAGCATATAACAATATATATATATTAAATAATACATTAAAATATATATATATAGTGCAGTATATAACATTAGTGCAATGAGAGAACTGGATCCTGTTAAAGAGCTGGTTGGTAATGTATAGCCACAAACCGTAACCCTAACCGTCTAACCATTAGCTTAAGTAAACATCTCACTTGTGTTCCCACATTCATTGAGCCTCCTCTCCTCTTTAACTCCACCAACCTTACTGCTGTCTGTCTGTCTACCCCTGCCTTTACAAACTACCCAACAATAGTAAAAAGAAACAACCTGCGTATATTTACCACCTGTCTCGCTTACCGGTGGTTTTTATTGATGGTTCACTCGGTCTGTAACTGAAAACACTCGCCGCTGGATGTTAACTCTCCTAACCCTGTTTCTCTCTTTACTCTGACAGCTTCGTCACCATGGGGAATGTATTCGCAACCTTATTCAAGGGCCTGTTTGGCAAAAAAGAGATGAGGATTCTCATGGTCGGGCTTGACGCTGCTGGAAAAACAACCATCCTATATAAACTGAAACTTGGAGAGATAGTCACCACCATTCCCACCATTGGTACGCACTATTGGTGTCTTTCATCCGACAGAAGAAGACAAAGACGTTGTTTTAAGTACAATCAGCTGTACTTAAACTTAAATACAGTCTAAAATGAGCTAAATTATGATATATTTGATGCCAGCTTTCATGCTGAACTAGAGGTTTAAATGAATTTAGATTAAATGTGCATGTACACAAATGTCACATTAGACGTTGATGAGCTTTATGTTTATTGCACAAAGTTTTTCACTCGTGTATTGACCGACTTTCTCCTGTTTCTCCCTCTTCCTGTCCAGGTTTTAACGTTGAAACTGTAGAATACAAGAACATCAGCTTCACGGTGTGGGATGTGGGCGGTCAGGACAAAATCAGGCCGCTGTGGCGCCACTACTTCCAGAACACTCAAGGTGAGGAGGGATGAGGGTGAGACTGTATGTGAGCTGGCAGCAGTGTCAGTGAACATTACTGCCTATAGGTGGCCTCATCGGTGCATAAAAGATGATCTGAAAACTAGTCAACCAGTGACTCACACGCTATTGTTCGATTCTCAAAGGACGTGTTGTGTGACTCCTACCGTTTCCTGAAATTGAATTCGTCAGAATATGTGAAGGTACTAACGCAGCCTTGTGTTTCCCACTGATGATGCAACCTGCAGCTACAGGCTCAGCTAACGGAGCCGGTGCTTCATCCAAAAAGTGCCATTTATTTTCACCTGGTGTGAGCAGTTCACGCTGTAGCTCCTCCTCGTTTTTTCGCCGTCCACACACTGAGCACCCGAGTGTGAAAGTGAAGGTGTGAATCCTCTTCGGTAATGACAGTTTGATACAGCATCATTAATCACAAAGGGACCAGAAAGCAGCACGTCTCACTTCGGAATATATCGGTTGTTTTCCTCAGTTTTCCTTTAAGATGCTGATGCTCGACACACATGAACACATACACACACATGCACGCACGCAGACACAATGTCTTGTTGTCTGGAAAATATCACAAGCTCGCCCCCCTTGCTTCCCCAGCCTGGGGGATTTGGGACCACGTAAGGGGCCCCAAAGTAAATCCGATGCGTCACAAGATGATTAAAGGGGATAAGAAAGAGGGGGGAAAGTATATATTTTTTCTGACTCTTTATGCTTTAATACACAATAACCCGTTCACAAGTAGACAAATGTTTGTTTTAAGGTTGGGACCGGCTGCTGTGATTAAAAACTGGCGCTTAACGTCTCCATCAGCAAACATTGAACGCTGACACGGCTACCAGCAGATTTCAGGGTGCAGTATTTGGCTCAGTTTCAGGGTTGATCTTTTTAAACTACACTCGTCTGTCTCTGAACGTCTCAGAGAAGCAGCAAGTCTTCTGACTTTGACACCAAGTGCAGAACAAGTCGAGATCTGGTTTGCTTAATCTGAGGCCACACGATGAAACGATAAAAACCGGGAACATCTTAATGCTTCCTGTGAGAATCGATGCCTTTTAGTTTTAGTGTTTGCTCCCAGCACACCGCTCCTTTACAGGCCGCTGCTATCTCTGAACAATGACTTGATTCTGGACGTTTGGTGAGCTGCAGGGATGATGAAACTTTAACCGAACGCTGGCTCATGAATCAGGAAGCGTACGGACACTGGGAAAGTCTGAACATCCTCATTTCAATCTGCCCCGGGACCTTCGTCGTCGCCGCCATCGTCATCCTCTCTCACTCAACGTCTTGTTTGTCTCTTCGCTTTCTAATAGAAAACCGCCGCAGCGTCGCCCCGTATAGCTTCCACTGATGCACAGGCAGCTGTTAGAGAGCGAACAGGGCGCTGCGACGAGCGACGTGAACATTTCCTCGTTATTTGATGCCGCGTTTACATAATTTATAGGAGTGAGTCTGTAAGTGATGTCTGACGTGACGGCACGCGGTAATAAATTCATGAATTCAGCTGCATTTAAAGTTGTCAGATATCACGATTGAAGCGTCGACGTTCACACTCGACAGACCCGCAGTTAACAAGTGAGACATTTTGAGTTTATTTCTGATGGCTGAGCTTTCAGCAGTTTGTGTTCAAATATCCAGTTTTAGGTTCAGTGCTCAGGTGTTTTGGGGATATTCGGGGCTGATCCTTTACATAGTGTGAATATCAGAGACTCAATAAGCTGCAGGAACAATTTGCACTGAATTAATTATTAACCGTCGCAGTGTTTGATCCTGGAAGAAACCTTTCTGTGCTGTATGTAACGTAGCAGATATATGTGTCAGACTCATGTGAAATAACTCTCTCTCTCTCTCTCTCTCTCTCTCTCTCTCTCTCTCTCTCTCTCTCTCTCTCTCTCTCTCTCTCTCTCTCTCTCTCTCTCTCTCTCTGTGCGCAGGGCTTATCTTTGTGGTGGACAGCAACGACAGGGAGAGAGTGAACGAGGCGAGGGAGGAGCTGTCCAGAATGCTCGCCGAGGACGAACTCAGAGACGCCGTGCTGCTCGTTTTTGCAAATAAACAGGTGAGTTCAGACGCCGATCTCTGAACCATAAAACGGACACCGAGAATCTTCTCCTCCTTTTTTAATTATGAACTGATGTTGAGGTTGTTTGTGGTGGAGCTGACTGTTTCTCCTCCTCCTCCTCCCAGGATCTCCCCAACGCTATGAATGCTGCAGAGATCACAGACAAGCTGGGCTTGCACGCCCTCCGCCAGCGCAGCTGGTACATCCAGGCCACCTGCGCCACCAGCGGGGACGGCTTGTACGAGGGCCTGGACTGGCTCTCCAACCAGCTGAAGAACCAGAAATGATCCATTCCACCAGTTTTGATTTTTGTTTGTTGTTTATTTTTTCTGTTTCAACACAGCGGCAGCACCGGATCCAGGCCCCCCTTCGCTCCCATCTAACCCCAAACTTTCAACCCCAGCTCTTTCTTTCAAGAACTTCCTTCATTCCCTCCCTCCTGCTTTCTCCCCTCATCCCTCCCCCCGCCTCCCCTCCTCCTCTTCCGTCAGTACTCTTGGGGCACTAGCCTGTGCTGCTTGTGTGGGCGTGCATGTGTGTGTGTGTGCGTGCGTGTACCTTGTGTGTTCAGCGAGTGTGCGTGGGTGTGAAGGCGTCTCTGCGTATGTTGGCTGGGATTGGGAGTAACCCTGGCGTGCCTTTTACACACCTCCTGTGGAATCAGCAGTCTGGTTTTCAAGCCCCCTCTCTCCATCCACCAAACTCAGCCTCTGCCCCACTCAGCCTACCCCCACTCCAAGTCTTGCACGGCCCCCCCTCATCCTCACCCTCACCCCACTACCTCCCCTCTTTCTCCCCCACCCTTACTCTCCAGAGGAAGCATGGTTTTCATACGGCAAAGAAAGAGCAAGGGTGCAAGCTCTCCTCCCCCCTCCACCCCTCCCCCCTGTAGTATATATCTATGTTAACTAGAAATGTTCACCTGATGTAGACTGAATGCTAAATGTTCATTTTAACCTCCTTTTTTGTTTGATTTTGAAACCTCAAACCCACCAGTAAGAGATTCAGTAAATTGCATCTTAACCTGTATCAGGTCGAAGCAAATCAAAAACAGAAAAAGGAAAAAAAACACAAAAAAAAACCCCCGCCCATCCTCGATCATTCTGGTGTCATTTGAAAATCATGCTGTTTGTTTTATTATTATTATTATTATATTGGAATATAACATATTATTCTTAGCAATGGTTCTCCAATGAACACTACCTTCCTCCCTCCCCCTCTTCCCTCCCTCACTAAGCGAGACCGTGAAGCACAAGGCAAGCCAACAATCTTTAAAATTAAAAACCTACTTTAAAATTAGAATATGCAATTCTTGTCTCTTCAAACAGTCGTATTCTGGTAGCTGGCGTGTAATTCCCCGGATTTAAATTAGGATTTTGTTTTTGTTTTCGAGACGACGTTCAGTAAAATGAATCATTCTGACAGCGTTCCTACTTCAACGTAGGTCCAAAACATTAAACAACAAAAAGGTGTTGGGCATTTCAGCCGGTTGACCGAGACAGGAGTCCTGATACATTCACAAGCTTCACATGTTTTATTCCTTTAAGAGATGTTACATGTGTTTTTTGTTCTTTTCTTTTTGTTTTTCTGTAACTAGTTTTAGCATTTCTATTTGTACTATGACTGCTGAACCAAATGCATTTGAGCAGTATGACAAATCCTGTGTATGTAAAGTAGTGTCTCCTCGAAGGGTCTCAACTGCATCTGATTTTGACTGAAGGGGTTCTTCCTCAGCATCGAACGGTTGGCAGTTTTACTTTGAAAATCTGAAAGCATCCGGGGGCTGTCTAGTTTTTCCTGGTTGGGATGAAGGATTGGCACCAAATATGAAGGCTCTTTTTTAAACTGTGAACGGTCCAGACATGAAGAAAAGGATGATTAGAAACCTAGTTCTGAGTGTCTGGGTGTTGACAGGCTACTACACATTATAGCGCTGCATACTTCATGGCTGAGGAGACCAACACAGCACGCACTCTGTCAGGGAGCTGGAAGGACTTTGGTGGTAGACCTGTTTTAATAAGGGGGATTGGGTGTGCGGTTAACTGGTCGGGAGATTCAGCGGGCGTTCTCGGTGTCGAACCACGGGGGGTAAAAAAAAGCTGGCACTTCTGTCAAGAATGATTGTAAATCTGTAAGTTCCCCTGTAAACTGTTTCCGTGGGGATTTCCTGAACACATTAATAAACATGATTTGATCCAACAGTTTTTGTGCGTTCGTGCCCGACTTTTCTTCACCGTCCGATATCGATTTTTATATAGGAGAGAAATTCACAGATTACTCATACAACTCAACTTTATTTATACCTTTTTATAGAAAACATAAACTGAAACAACAGATTAAAAACTAGGTGAAGCAAAAATAAAATTGTGCAAATGAATAAAAACAAAATGTTAAGCATCAAAGAAATGACAAAAAAAGATAAATGCGTAAATAATGTAAAAAACTAACTATATAACATTACTCTAAAGTAAAAGCCAGATTAAAAAGAGGTTTTTAATTTCCTTTATATATAATACTGAGTGGCAGTGAGTAAATTAGTGATGCACCAATATAAATGTAAAGGTACTCTGAGGTTTTCTTAAGGAAATAACCTTATTAAGGATATTCAAGTTAAATATTATTTAACATAGGCTACAAACTGTAGAAATGAACACTAATATAATATATAGAATAAAGAATATCAATACAAAAGCCTTTTCTCTATTATATACGGAGATAAAACACTTCATATGAACAATGAGAGGAAAACTGATTCGTCAAAAGAACAAACCTGTTAAGTTTCTATGATTGTTAGGTAACAATATATTAATCACAAGAGAAATAAAATGTAAAATAAATAAAAAGGGCAGGAGAACATAAACTATAAATAAATGAATATTAGTCTCAGTAGTTGTCTGGGAAACCTTTAAAACGAATATGACTGAAGACTCATCTGTAGAAATAATCTGTTACAGGTCTCAGTTCTGTAAAATTATTAGTCTAAAAGTTAAAACATTTTATCTTAAAGGACCCATTTTATATAATTTATTAAACTGACTCAGTGACATATTTAATGTATATTTCATATCATATTAAAAACTGTTCAATGAACTCAAACAGTGAACTCAGTAACTGCAGGGAGTTTGTGTAAAACCAGAGATTTGGATGAATTCTGAGCAGATTATTTCCTGTTTGGGGAACTTTTTATACAATTCTCCGTCTGTATTATGGATTTATTTATCATTTTTAACAATCAAACAAACTAAATAAGCTTCTTTTCTCACAAATTAAATGTTTTCTTCTCCCTGACACTTTACCATTAATCTATTAGACACTTTAATTTACATTTTCTTCACACAAATGAAGCAAACACTGAGATACAGGCCGACACTTTAAAATCAAGAAGACCTCCCATGAAGCTCTTGGCGTCCCCTCATGAGGGTCCCTCCCTCGGATTGAGAACCAGTGATCTAGAGATCTGGCAGATGTGTGAAAGCATGAGTGTGCATGTTCTCCGAGTTACATTCCTGGAGACCAAAATATGGCCTCCAGGTGGGAAAACTAATACTGGGTGAAATAACTGCGTCAATAAAAGCGTTTTTCTCCTGAATCTGCTCCGATGTGTCTTTTCTTGCTGCCAGAGGTTCACACATCTGTAAATATTTAACCCTCGTTCAACTTCTGGTGTCACTCGGGTCAGAAAAACAAGGTGATCAGCAGCCGCTCGCTCTCGCCCTCTTCAACCACTAGGTGGCGACAAGCAGCCATCAGTACAGCTGTTTACATGGTGTCTAAAACATTTAAAGTAACATTTAGCCTATAAAATATACATAATATCATATATTTTTATGTTTTATTTGACAGTAATATAAATGAAGAGGCCAGGTGTTAAAAATATAAATAGAATAAAACCACAGATTCTTATTAAATTCATGCACACAATAATTATAATTATAATTAACAACTAATGATTACTTCCATTGTTAGATTATTCGATTAATTAGTTACAAAATGGAAAAACATGTTTCTATAACTCAAAGTGACGTCTTTAAATGTCTTTTAAACCCCTCAAAAATAAGTTTACAGTAAAATAAAACAGAAAATCTGTAAATCCTCACAGCTGAGAAACAGTGGAAAGTAAATAACTACATTATAATAACTACTGGACTTAAGTTACATTTTGTACAATTTTATGTTTCAATTTCTGAAGGAAATGTTGTATTTTTCACTCCATCAACAGAAATAGTTACTTTTTAAATTCAGATTTTACTTTAAAAACATGAAAAGTTGCTAAAATAAAAATATAAAACCACTTATAAACAAGCAGGAGGCCATTTATTTTACTTATCTGCACTAAAAAGTACAAAAGCATTATAATTAAAATACCAAAAGTAAAAGTACTTTAGAATCAGGCTAATTTTAATGACTTAATCTATAATAATAATACATCATAATTAAATTCATAAATATTCTAAATATGCAAAAATGAATGTAGTGGAGTAAAAAGTAGAATATTTACCTCCAAAATGTAGTTACTGAGTAGAAATATAAAGTAAATGGATATACTCAAGTAAAGTACCTGAAAAGTACTAAATACAAAGTAAGTAATGTACTTGAATACACATATTGTGTGTAATTTAAGGCTTTAATCTATATTATTACATCGTAATTTATTAGTTTATTCATATTAATTATCTAAATATGCAAAACTAAATCTGTCAAATGAATGTCGAGGAGTAAAAAGTATAATATTTGTCTCTAAAATGTAATTATGAGTAGAAGTAAATGGAAATACTCAGGTAAAGTAACTGAAAAGTACTTTAAAAAGCTCTTAAATTCATATTTTGTGTGTAATTTAAAGCCTTAATCTCTAATAATACATCATAATGTGATTGTATTAATAAACATTCAAACTTAAATAGTAAAAAGTACAATATTTACCTCAAAAATATAAAGTAAATGGAAACCCTTACATACCTGTACCTGAGTAATTTACCTGAGTAATTTACCTGAGTACATATGTTGTGTGTAATTTAAGACCCGGTACATGAAAAGTACATGAACCCGGAAGGCATTCACATACCTGAACCCATCACCTTTTAAAATCCACAGACTGAGCGGAGGGGGCGGAGCTACGGTGCACACCTGAGGCCCAAGCCCCGCCCCCTCCCTCTCCGCTCCACTCAGATAACGTTGCTGTCGCTTTGTAGTAGCACCATCCTGTTGTGTTTGCCTCACATACGAACACAAAAACATCACAGGTGGGATTAACGCGATGGCTGACAGCTGAAACCCGCCGAACGTTTACAGGTAAGCTCCTTTCCCCAGAGATGCTAAACAAGCTAGTCCAAACAGGTGCAGGCTGGATTTAACCGCGAATATAAAGCTTATATAAAGACGTGGAGTTTGCCGAAGATAGCCGAATGTGTTATTGTCTCAGTGTCAACGTATTAAAGTCGTGTTTTAGTCGACCGAGCCTTTCCTGAGGACAGGAGAGTTATTTTCTTCAGTTTCTGTATGAGGTTTTGGCGCTGCGCCCACACATGAGTGTGTTAGCTTAGATTTTTAGGCTCTTAAAGCCACCAGGAGTTAGTTTGTGCAGCTGGACTTCATCACCTTCTGTGAACAGGTATAGGAGACACAATGTGCCAGAGGAATAGCAGCAATATAACCCTTCTTATTATTGGTTTTTAAGGGTTTAAGGTGGACTGAAGTTGTGTTCCTGCACTGTTATTCCAGAGGGCAAACTGCACACAGGGTCTGGGTTAATAACTCAGTGAGCTGTTTGTAGTCTGATAACAAGTCTGTTTCCCCATCATGTGTAATATAATGTCTCAGGTGTCCCATATAGAGCAGGAGCCTTATCACTGGCCTACTTAATACTGTAGTCTTTATTATAACGTATTAAAGTCAGACAATAGCTCTTTGTATGAGCAGTAATCAGAAACCACCGGTTGATCATCAGGTCAGTCAACAATTCTGATCATTTATTTATCATTTTAATCATTTAACTGAGCTAAAATGTCAAATATTGACTCAGCAGCTTCCAGATTGTTGTTGCTGGACTGTAAACTGAATATTTTTGTGTTTTTCGGCTGAAACAAAACAAAACATTTGAATCATATTGATCTCTTACATGATATAAATGATCAGTCAATTTATCATAAATGAAAATCACTGTTAGTTACAGCCCTGGTTGGAGTAGCTCTTTGTGTGTTTATCAGGCTGTAACCATCAGTGTTAATGGCTGAACATCATATGGCTGAAATAATTAATAATCAGTGGATCAAGGAGAATTTATTGGCAATCATTTTGATCATCAATGAATCAATTAATCAATATAATAGCAGTTTCAGCTGCGTTTCTCTGTTTTACATCATTGTAAACTGAATATTTTCATGTTCTTCAAACAGAACTTGAACTTTATAAAGCCATTAATGAGATGATCCACCAATAATAATAATAATAATAATAATAATAATAATAATAATAAGCAGATGAATTGTTTCCCGCCGGCTGCAGGTTGGAATAAGCTGCTTTTTGTGCTCAAGTGCACTGATGTTCTCGCTCCTTTTATGCACGTCTGCACCTGTTCACACACTTTTAAATTGGATCCACACCTGCTGGGGAGAGATTTTTAAACCACTAACGGCTGCACGCAGGGTTTTTGAGAAAGGTAATGTTATCCAATCGTCTGCTGCGTGCTGTGTGAGGAGAATAATGGAAGATATTCAGATTCTCTCTCTCTCTCTGTGTGAGCCAGACAAACCTTCACTGCCTGATCAAAGCACCGCGTCTGTCTGTAAACCTGCAGGCTGCCACCGGTTCTCCTCACACGCTGCATGAGCTGCAATAATAACACAACAAACTAAATTTATGTCAAATGAGCTTTAAATTAGTTAAACGACTGAGGATGTAACTCGACACACAAAGTGGTTTTTTTTTTCTTGATTTTTCTTCAACAAAATGAGATAAAAGACAATTTATGACTTTATTTCTCAGACAAAAATCTACAAAATGTGTTTTCTTTATCTGTTTATGAGGTAGAAACGACGCACGTTGCTAAAAACAACACGAAATGTCTGTTGATAAAAGGTTATATTGAATATTTGCTGTTAGTCCACTTTGTTCCAGACTAATCTCTATAAATCTTACCTACTTCAGTGATCCTCTGACCTTTCCTTCAGTGCGGAGGTCAACAAAGAGCCTTTTTTGGCCCCACAAATCTAAAATAAACACATATTTTGAGCTTTATAAATCTGGTTTCTCGCTGCTGATCAAACCCAGTAAACCAACAAGTCTGTCTTCTTTATTTCCCTCCTAGACTTAGGATAAGATATTCAAGACAGGATGTAACGTACGACGCACGTTTTAGTTGCTGACATATTAAAACTTTTATCTGTGTGTAAAAGTTAACCATTTTTACAACTTTGATAAATGATCAACAAAAACTGTTTCCATATAATCTTTTGTCGAGAAATGTTTCTGTAAATCACAAAACTAAGTTAGCGTCACTTAAAATTACTAATATACTTAATTAAACTTTCAATGGGATCAGTTTATGAATCTCACAGCAAACTAAACTTTAACTGTATTTTTTAATGTTTAAAATGTAAGTTTTGGACTATTCGTGAGATAAAATAAACCTCTGAAGACATAATTTAATCTTAGTTTCAGCCGCAGACATTAGAATTAATTCAGAATTAGACTTTATAATTAAAACCAGCGCACATTTAACACGTTAAAATCAACATCACACACACACACACACACACACACACACACACAGCCGTCTGTTTGTGATCAACTGTGATTATATTAAACGGCTCAATAACAACTACAGCACATTACGACGCAGTAGCATACGATGCTACTGGAAAACAACACGGTTGAGTCATACTTTCGTTACTCAGAATAGACTTTAGTGGCGCTGAGCCAGAGAACAATACAGACCAGACCTGCTGCTGCGTGTCGTCTGAATATAAAACATTTCCATAAACACTAACGTATAATAGTAAAATCTGTTTATTGTCTCTGCGACTTCCTGCTTCCTTTGTGACAGCAGAGTAAGTGTTTACCCAGCATCCTTCAGTGCAGAGGAAAGTGTTGTAGGGTTGTGTGATCATTTAATATTAATATACAGTGAAATCATCGTGTAATTAATTATTATTATGTATTTAAGAAGTGTTTTTCTGATGTGATGCAGAAAAATGAAAGTAAGGGAGTCAGTTTAATTATTATCTGTCATATTGTGATATGTGTATGTGTGTGTGTGTGTGTGTGTGTGTGTGTGTGTGTGTGTGTGTGTGTGTAGAAATCAGAAAAATGTGAGTCATGTTTTGGAACTGAACATTTAATTCATCCTGTTATAAAAAGAGTTGTAAGTTAATGTTTCTGACAGCGTGGCCGACTTTATTGATCCTTTAGGTTAAAATGTTCTGACTTGTTTGTCCAGTATTTAGAAAACTTCCTCACATCAGCCTCAACTGTTCTCTGTGTTAAAACTGAAACTTAATGTTGGGCCACAGGACAAAAGCAAACACCTGTTGTATTGTATTATATTGTATTATAATGTTAAGATGGAAACTGGTTCAATAAGAATCGTTACAATGAGCTTGTTTTTGTTGCCGCCAGCAGTTTTGATCCTGTTCACTAACCTTTGTAGACCCACAGACTATAATATTCTATTAATGTGTAAACAGTGAATTCATCTACAGAAAGAACAGAGCCTCTGTTTTTATACACACACAAAACTATTTTATTCTAGCTTAGCAACACAGATTGCTGGACTGTCTGGTGATGGTACAGAGTTAAAGAACGTTAACAAAATAAAACAAAACCCAGCATAATCAGTGATTTATATTCTTATTATTAACTTTGCGAGATAAATCTGGTGGCCCACATTGAACCGTATGGGCTCAACTGAACACAGTACACATTAAACCTGTTAAACATCAGACTGTAACATTAAATTCAGCCTCACAGAGCAGCTACAGAGGCTTTATATTCTCCTGTAGCTTTAGAAATCACCTAAACGTTATATTTAAGTATTTATTGTTGATTAATCGGCTAAAGTTTAGCTGGCAGACAACCACAACGCTGACGCAGAACACAGAACATAGAGCCAGAGTTTATACACATTATAATGCAGAAATGTTCCATATTATAACTTTATTTGAGATTAAAGTCCTGGTTTAAAGGTTGTAACGTGTAATCGGAGCCTTCCTCCTGCAGAAGAAGTGCTCTCCGCTCTCTGCGAGTCTCCTCTGTATAAATAAAGGTTAGCCATCGTTTGCATGTGGATTTCACTAGAGAGCTGATGGGGGTTTACGACAGAGCCGGTTACAGAGTCTGACCTCCCCTCCGTCCTCCCTTCAGGTAACATGATGGAGGTGGCGGGTCCCTGGACAGAAGTATTCGAGGGTTCGGAGAGGACGGATGCGTCCGGGAGAGCGGAGACGCTGTTGGGGAGCTCCACTCTGACTCTGGCTCCTCTGGTAGCCGATCCCCCGTCCGTACGCCGCTCCCAGCCCATCCTCATCACCTCAAACAGGTAGGACCAGCAGCGTGGAGCCACGTGGGCACAGACGGCTGTTACTCACTCGTAGTGGACATGAGTCAACAGACTCCTGCAGCAGGCGTTGGATGTTGACTCAAGCCGGTGACTCAACCTCGGGCTATAAGTCGTCTGACGTGTGAAGAAGTGACTAGTTTCTATTAAGACGAGTATAATGCCAGATACTCCCCGCCTTAGAGACACAAGTAATACAATGTTTGCAGAGAGGGTTGGCAGTGTGTGCTCTATTAGAGACACACTGGGGGAGTTCTGGTTTTCTTTCACTTCCTTTCTTCTCCCCCGAAGACTAAGAAAGCAAAGTTTTATTGATGCATCGACGAGATAACTTAAATATTAATGCTGTCAAATAAATTTTAGGCCTTAAAATGTCTGTAACTATGATATAAACAGGCCTTAAACATGGATTGGGTCTAATGTAAGTTGTATAAAGTTGCAATAAGCATTGATTTTACTGTAACAGCCACAAAATAAATAATAAAATCTTAAATTGAACCTGTTGAAACCTTGAAACTGTGAAAAATATAACACGTTAATCAAACATTATCTATTCTATTTAGTTCAGTCTGTAAATAGTAAAAAAAAAAAGGAGCCATTAAATCTGTAATAATCAATATTTTATATGAACAAAGGAGGAAGTGACTGCGTGTAATGTCACAGGAGTTAATATTCATCCCTGTTTTGGTTTTACGGACCCCGAATGAACCGTATTTTACTGGAAGGAGCAGCAGTTGTACAAAAACACACAAATATAATGAAGATAGAAACAATTGGACCTCTGTATTTTGGTATTTTTACAGCAAATTAGATTTATTTCCAGTCAAAGGAACATAATTAACAACATTAGACACAAAAATGCTCCATCATTGATGTGTTTAGTGACACAGAGGAAGTAAAAATGATCTGTTAAAATATAGAATCTCACCTCCTTTAAGAGCAATATCTAATTACATGATAAGACAATGTGTCGGTTTCTCCTTTTAATGAGTTTGTCTGTTGTGTTTCCAGGACGAAAGGCGAAGAGTCGTTCTCCTCCTCCTCTGTCCCATCCATCCCCAACCCTTTCCCCGAGCTCTCCAGCCCTCCGGTGCTCATCAGCTCTCTTCCACCGCAGTCCAACGACAAACATGTGAGTTCAAACCCTCGCCGGGAGCCGATTTAGACGTCTGTTGCGTCTGAAATGGGCCAAACTGATCGATCGAATCATTTTATCTCCATTCAAGTTAACGGAGGATTAAACCGTAAACTAGCTCTCTGTATGTGCGTCCTCTGAGGCAGCGGTTCCCGACCTTTTCCCTTAAAGGACCCCTTTACTATAATTAAGTTAAAACTGACTAAGTGACATATTTTATGTATATTTCATATTCAATGCATAACAATAACAGTAAGGAACAACTGATAAACTAAACAATGAACACAAAAACTGCAGGAAGTTTGTGTAAAATGAGCAATTCGTATGAATTTTTAGAAACTTTCTCCGTCTACAGACTTAATATTCTTCTTTTTTTTTACATTCATTGTTTTATTAGCTCTTAAAGGTCTTAAATAATAATCTAACTCTTTAAAAATAGTAATTTCATTTAATTTTCTTCACATAAATGAACAGATTGCTGAGATATAGACCTACTGTTTCTAAGTTGTAAGTTAACTTAAAATCAAGAAGGCCTCGCGACCCCCTGTGAAGCTCTGGCGACCCCCACTGGGGGTCCTGACCCACTGGTTGGGAACCACTGCTCTACGGGTTTGTTCTTTTCCTTTCACTTCACCATCTTAGTTTCATTTTTACAGCACAAATGATGAATTACAGGCACTGAGGCTTCATTTTAGAGTCGGGCAGTATTTTCTTACTGTCAATAAATTGCGTTAAAATACCAAAACCATCAATTAATACTGTTCACTATTTACCCGAATGTGTATTAATCCGCCACTGAAAGTAGTCCCATTTCCTCCTGTTTGAGTAACATTTGATAAAAACTACAGAGACCAGCTGTTTTCTGAGTCTTTTTACAAACTTAAACTACGTATTTGATAAAGCTCTGCACCGTAAGAACCACATAATATAAAGAAACTAACACTGTTGGTTTTTTGGGGGGGTTTTCATTTGATTTATTAACAGAAAGAATAACACAGAATACAAGCAGCATAATCCTCCTCGCAGTATTTGTCCAGACAAATCTCAGCTCCCTGTGTTAATCCCCTCACACCTGTCTGATCTGTAGGGTCTGACAGGTGGATCCTCTCGCTGTGTCTCAACCTGTTTGCTAGCAGGGCCGAATGGAGGTTGGCTGTGATTGTGACTGACAGCAGAGCTGTGTTGCCATGCCTGCGCTGCCTTATTTTGACTCACAAACACTGCCAGAATAAACATGTCTGTAATTACAGCAGCGTGAAGCCACGCCGCGCTCCCCACGGGGCGTTTCGTGTACAGCGATGGAAGCGAACAGGCGGTTTCGTGTAGGCCTGCAGCTGTTTGTTATCGGTTGGTTTGTGTTCATTTGGACCACATCTGGACCGCTGAAGGGCTGATTTGTGTTGGTGGTTTTCAGTATTTCTCAAATTATGATTTTACTGGGATGAGAACAAGAGTTTAACAGTGTTTTTAGTGTTACAGTATACGGCCAAAAGTATGTGGACATCTTTTGAACCACTAATGATAGTGTCCAATCTACAGTATATGGTGATTAGTATGTCCACATACTTTTTTATACTTGTGATTTTAAGCTGTTTTGTTCCAGTGAAGCTTTTGAAAACTTCAAATCTCTATAATATTTATGAATAAATACGAAACAAAGTTAACAAAATACATCTTTAGTTATTGTTTATTAAGTGTTTAATGAGAAAAAACACCATTAGGAAACAAGTCGTTTTCTGATTTCGAAACAAAAATCTGTTAGCTGCAAACCCAAATGACCCATCAAACAATTGTTTAATTAGCCAATTAGTTTCTCAATTAACCGATTTGTCTATAAAATGTCAGAAAACTGCAGGAAAGTTTGTGTAAAACGAGCGATTTTGAGCAAATTATTTCCTGTAAATATTGATCAGAGATTAGTTTTCCTGATAGTTTTAGAAACCTTTTATACAATTTTCTTATCGTATTATTTTTATTTTCTTTGTATCTAAACTATATAAACTTAAATAAAAACACAATTTCATTTAGTTTTGTTAAGAAAGTATCAAAAATGTTGAGCTATCGGCTCACTGTGTATATTTATACGTTTTCTTACGCCTCTAAAAATGAAGAAAGCCTCATGACCCCTGTGAAGCTTTAGCGACCCCTAGTGAGGGTCTCACTAAAGCAAACCGTTTTATATTTCCCACACCCAAATAATAATAATAATACTAATATTAATAATCTGTAATGTAATACATTATTTAACTCTCAAAGAAATTGTAGAAACTGATTTCATCGAATATTTTAAGTAACACAAACTTAGTTACAGAAACATTCCTGATTAAGTACTTTAATAAGTTGTTTTCACAGTACAAATATCAGTTTTACTTCAAATGTTTGATGTAATTCAATTTCTTTGGTAAATGAACTTAAATGAACTAACTTAACTTTATTTGAAGTAAACACAAAGTGCTGAACATTAAAGGAAATTATTGTGACAATAAAAACAAGGAAAATAAAATAGCATTAAAACACATCAGGAGAAAGTAAAAGACCTTCAGACAGTCTGATCCAGAGTTTCTGGAGTATAATTAACTCTTTGTCTCCGTATGGTTCAGATTAACAGATTAAAAACTATCTGCACCTTTCAGACGCTCCTGCAGCGAGTTTGAGTGTTTGTGATTTAATCTCCTCTGTTGTCGCACTCTGTAAACTCTACGCTCCCAATCACAGACCCTGAATTTGTTCTGAGTAAAGAGAAACATATTTTACTGGACCGGATATCGAACTGTGAGGTTTCCCCCCGGAGGAATGTTCCTCCCCCATAATCCTCCCCGGTCGGTGCTTGTTCGACTCAACCCGCCCAACCAGTCGGGACTTGCTGATTGACAGCCGCCGGGTTTCTGGCCGGGCAGGTTTGTTTTCTTTTGGTTTAGAGACGTGCTGCTGGATCCCGATCCCGCCGCTGCGTCAGACAGCAGCACGTCTCTGAGAAACGTCCTGACCCCTGAATGACCTGCACCCAGTTCAACCTCGACGGCATCGGCGACGCAGATCGAACCGTACGCACGACTGCTTTCTCAGATCTGATCTTTTTCCTCCACACATGAGTACACACACTGGGAGAAAGCAAGAAGTAGACGTGCAAGGACGTGTGTTTTTAGACATTTCTTTCTTTCACCAGAACGCCGTCGACTCGCAGAATAAGAAATGAAAGCTGCGTCTGTAATTTGAGAAAGGAATTAAAGACAAACGAGTTGGAGGAGGGATACGACGTGTCTAAAATTAGGGAGAATTTCTCTTAAAGTGGCTCGTCCTGTTAAATACAGACTGCCTGCTGACAGGTTCTTGGCCTCGCATTCTGGCTTCTTGTTTTTTTGGCGTGTACCGACGTCGGTTCGATGCCAAAACAAAGTGTGCAAAGTATGTTGTGTATTCAGTGACTCAGATTGAACCTGTTTGCCCAACGCTTTAAGGCCAATTCCTTCAGAAAGAACTTCTTAAATTCACAGATCAGATGAAAAACTGCCTGATAATTCTGAGGTACCTTACTGGAATATTTCCATTTTATCCTCCTTTATACTTCTACATTTATCTCACAGGTGGAGTTAGTAGTTAGATGATGGAGATTGTTATAAATTGTTAAAGTAGAACAATTACTCATTGATTTGGAGAATTAAGCAATAATTGGTAAACACACTGAATTAGATGTTAATCACAATATGATGTTTTTACCATATCGTGCAGCCCTGAACACAATAACTGCAGGAAGTTTGTGTAAAACGAGCAATTTGCATGAATTATAATCAGTTATCATTAGTTTACTGATATTTTTAGGAACTTTTTAGACTTTTTTTCTGTATTATCTATTTTTTAACAATCATACATACTATCTAAACTAAATAAACTAAAAGAAAAATACAGTTTAATAAAAGCCAGTTGAATGCTTTTAATGTGAAGCAGCAGCAGTAGGACAGTCTGTTATCAGTGAGATAAAATTATGCTGGATTACAGTATGAATACCAGTGTGGGAATGGCAGACTCCACCACTAATAATAAACACTACTATATAGAGCAGTGGTTCCCAACAATGGCCAACCACCAGAGACAAGAAAACACAAAAGAAGCCTCTTAAGTCTGTATGATTGTTAAAAATGTTAGAAAAATCCACAATACAGACAGAAAATTGTATAAAAAGTTCCCTAAACAGGAAATAATCTGCTCAAAATTCATCCAAATCTCTGGTTTTACACAAACTTCTTGCAGTTACTAAGTTCACTGTTTGGGTTTAGTGTACAGTTTTAATATAAAAAGAAATATACATAAAATATGTCACTGAGTCAGTTTAATTAATGATAGAAAATGTTGGGAACCAGTGCTGTAGAGAATATAAATACATAAAGGGGCTTTACAAACGACATGCAGACCATAAATTGTATCAGAAACGTTGGTTTTGCGTCTTTTACTGTGAATATTTCTCCCTGTGCTTCGTGCAGCTGATAAAGGTGTACGGAGAGGACAGCCACAGCCGGTCGGTGTGGGTCGCTCCGAGAGCTACAGCCAGGGAGGTGTGTCACATGTTGGTCCAGACGGCTCACTGCAGCGATCAGGAGAACTGGGCTCTGCTGGAGCTCCACCCCGCCCTGGGCCTGGGTAAGACTGTGACTGTGTGCTGAATGAATGTGACGTTATAAAATGTTTAATGTTTCACACACATGTTCTCTCCTCTCTCTCCTGCAGAGAGATGTCTGGAGGACCACGAGGTCGTGCTGCAAGTTCAGGCCACCTGGTCTCTCAAAGGCGACACGAGGCTCGTTTTCCGCAAAAACTACGCCAAGTACGAGTTCTTCAGGAAACCGACGGTGAGTTTAAAGATGCATTATCACGAGATAACAGAACACCTCAGGCGGGAGAATTCTTGCTGCTCTGCCGGCTCGCTGGAGGCTGACGAGGCCTGACGTCATGCTGGTTTGGTGGTTGTGAGTGATTGGCAGGTTGCGTGCTGGTGCAGACACACTTACTGAGCGCCTCAGGTATTTCATTACATCAGATCTGCTCTGTCGCCTGTGCTGCTAAACAAAGGTGACAGTTTGCGTAGAGAACTGGTTCTGATGAACCTCCCACCGCTGTCTCTGTAAAGTTTGCCCACACTGCCTCCAGAAGGCACAACTTTGAATTAGATTCACTGCGTTAATTACACTCATACCACCCGTGTGTCTGCTTATTGGAGTCATTTATGGATCAAACTAATCATTATTTTCTTTATTGTTTGTTTATTAAATGAGTAGAATAGTAATTTCGCCTCAGATATTCAGTCACATTAATATAAAACAGAGCAACGCAACTGGAACAGGAGAGTTTTTGGTCTATTTTTTCACATTTTTACCTCTTGAAACAGAATTAAAAAGATTGATTAGTTATCAGAATTGTTTTCTTTCAGCTCTACAGTCACTTTTCATGTGCAAACAAAGACGGCAGCAGGATCTCCGTCCTCCCTCTGAGTGCATCTGAACATTGCTCGCATGGTTAAACCTCACTGAACAATTCAGTTATTATGTTTCCTCTGATTCGTCCTAAACGAAGGAGAATGAGTCCCACAAGCTGCGTGTCCAAAGGAGGCTGAAGATGGAGCTTCTCTTGTTTCCTGTTCAGAGGAGTTTAAATGACAACCTTCTCCTTCCTTCCTTCCTTCCTTCCTTCCTTCCTTCCTTCCTTCCTTCCTTCCTCCTCGCAGCTCTTCTTCCCAGAGTGCATGATCTCCGACAGTGCCGATGTCAGCAAGGGGATGACGTCGTCGGAGCTCATTCAGGTAAAAACCAGCTGGAATCAGGAAGCCGATTCGTCAACGTACGAGCTTTAACTGTCGGTTGAGTGTATTTATTTAAAGTTTCTCTCCAAACTTCATACAGGTCATAAATAATTACTGAAAACATTATAAAAGACTGTGAACTGAAGTTAGACTGTTTATAACACTTTATTCTTTGGTGTTAGAAACTCAGAAATCATATTTATCGTTTTCCAGAGACTTTATAGTAACATGAAGGCTGAAAATACATTTTCCATTAATATTCTCATTTAATTATTGTATAATTTTGATATAAACTGAAGTAAATAAAACAGTAACATGTATTATAATAAGATAGAATAAGATTAAATTCTGGAAACAGAGAATGTTTGATTTTATTTGTAGTGATTTAGACATTTGAATGAATATTATATTCATAGGTATGTTTTTATTAGTGTATAATCACTTGAATATAGGAACCGGACAAACTAAACACTCGTTTTTGGCAGGTTTCACAGCCATTATAGTTTCTCCTGCACGTTTGGAAGTGGAGACGAAGGCGAAGGGGTTGCAATCAGTAACCAGAAGCCACTAAATCCTCCACATTGGACCTTTTTTAAGTGTAGCTCACTTTAAACAAGGTCCTCTTACACTGATCAGAACTCAGAAATGAAAATGAGCTTTCTGATCGCGTCCCACAATTCAGGACGAATATGAGCTGAAAGTAACGAGTCCTGTGTGTCTCTCAGGACCTGCTGAAGTCTGGGACGTGTCCAGAGATCCAGGGGTTCCTGCAGGTTAAAGAGTCCAGTCGTAAGTCCTGGAAGAAGGTCTACTTTTTCCTCCGCCGCTCCGGACTCTACTGCTCCAACAAAGGCTCCTCCAAGGTCAGCAACATTGTCATCGACGCCATAAAACAGAACCAGCAGCACTTTAAACATGTGTTAAACATCTGTACATCTGTGTGTGTGTGTGTGTGTGTGTGTGTGTGTGTGGATTTAGGAGCCTCGGCACCTGCAGTATGTGGCCGATCTGGAAGATTTGAACGTGTACACCGTGGTGAACGGCCGTAAACTGTACGGAGCGCCGCTAGACTTCACCTTCTGTATCAAGGTAACCGCTTTCCTCAAGGCGTCCACCAACACGGGACAAAATGTCCTCAAACCAGACAGAACATTGTGTTAGTACAGACCTCTGTGTGTGTGTGTGTGTGTGTGTGTGTGTGTGTGTGTGTGTGTGTGTGTGTGTGTGTGGCAGCCCACTGTTTAGCATTCATGTCATTCTTGTGATTATTGTGGAGGATTGAGTCAATATTGTTCACATTCAGCAGCAGCAGCAGTCGGAGCTGTGTGAACAGTGAACATTAACAATCATACAGACTTTAAAAGCTTCTGATCATTGTTCTGTTATTTACTTTGCATCTACTTTTCTTCACAGAAATTAACCAAATACTGACATATCGACCAACTGTGTATATTTTTTAAGTTTTCTTACTCCCCTAAAAAGCCCCCCCCGTGAAGCTTTGGCGACCCCTAGAGGTTGCCACTGCTACCCACACTAGTGATGAGAAGACAGTTTTTTTAAAGTAATCCGGTTTTCAGTTCTGTATTATCTAATACAGCCTCAGCTGGGAGAAGTGTGCAAGCTCTCTTATCTATAAATCAACAAAAAACAACAACAAAATGTAGAGACTGGAAATATTCTCTTACCCCCAAATGCCACCAGAAATGGTTGCGATGCTACATCAACATTGTGGCACCAGGGCAGATGTCAGTCAGAGGAGAGTTTAAGCAGAGAAACACAAGTTTTGTTTCAAACCGTGTTTCAGACACAACGTTATAAAGGTGGAATTTCCACCTATTGTTCTTATTAATCAGAAAAATGCAGCCGTACACCTCCTGAATTTAATTTAATTTAATTTTTTCTCTCTTTTATCAAACTGATATTAGCTCAACTTAGCTCCCTGGGTGGATGTTGGTCCAACAATCACCATTTTATTCCCGCTGTCTCTCCCTGGGTTAACTCCCTGAACGAGAGTCCGTCACTGAGCTGTGGCTCTCACTCGTTCTTCAGAGGCTGACTATGACAAAAATCGACCAAAAGCAATCTCCCTCCTCCCGTTTCCTGTCACTCTCCAGCTAATCTCTCTCAATTAAACTGACTTTGTGTCTCGCAGCCGTCCAGGAACCCGGTTCGGACTCAGGACTTGAGGATCTTATGTGCCGACAACGAACAGACAAGAACGTGTTGGACGTCCGCTTTCAGATTGTTCAAGGTGAATAAAATAACCTCACACACACTGAATAACCACCACGTTAACATTTACTGACCAGTATTTACTGTGTGTGTGTGTGTGTGTGTGTGTGTGTGTGTGTGTGTGTGTGTGTGTGTGTGTGTGTGTGTGTGTGTGTGTGTGTGTGTGTGTGTGTGTGTGTGTGTGTGTGTGTGTGTGTGTGTGTGTGTGTGTGTGTGTGTGTGTCAGTACGGGAAGCAGCTTCAGTGCAACTACCAGTTATCCAAGTCGGCTGCGAAGTTGAAGCCGCAGAGCCGAGAAGGAACCAGACTGACAGATGGCAAAGTGAGATCATCAACAGACACCACGAGATGCAGAGGATTCTGGGAAATCATTTCACTGTGTCATCTCACGTTTACACCGTTTGTGTGTGTTTGTGTGTGTTTGTGTGTGTTTGTGTGTGTGTGTGTAGTCAAAGTCGGAGGCGAGCCTGGTGGCCATGGACTTCTCGGGGAAGGCCGGCGGACGGGTCATCCAGAACCCGACGGAAGCCCAGAGCGCTGAGAGGGAGGAAGGACAAGCCTGGAGGGTGAGGAAGAGGGACTTTTTTTCCTCAAGTGACTCCTCTTCTTCATCACGTAAACTGACTGACTGACATATTTTATTGATATTTCATATTCTATAACAGATCAGAGATTAGTTTTCCTGATGTTTTCCCAACAATTCTCTGTGTGTATTCTGTATTTTACATGTTTTTTAACAATCAATACATATTTAATAAGATTCTTTCAGTTTCAGTCCTTCAGATAATTTCAGTGTTTAAAAGACCTTTCTCCCCCTTACAAACAGCTCAGCTTTGCCTGAGGTAAAACCACAGATCATAAGGATTTAAGATTTCAAAGGACCTTTACTCTGTAACATTTCATCTTACCCACGATGTGGTTCGCTCCTCGGTGTGAAATGTCAGTAATAATCCCTCAACACGGCTCGTCTGGTAGAGCGCCGTACATTTTATCATCCAGATTCAACCACAAACGAGGGTCAAACATACAGAAATCAGATCCGTGTTGTAACACACCTGGGGGGGCTGTATCTCCGCATGTGGTTCACTTCTGTAAAGGAAAGTAAACGCAAAGTAAATTGTCTAATAGTACAAGGGTCAGGGAGAAAAACACTGAATTTGTCACAAAAGAAGCCTCTTAAGTCTGTATGATTGTTAAAAATCATTAAAAATCCATAACACAGACAGAGAATTGTATAAAAAGTTCCCTTAACAGGAAATAATCTGCTCAAAATTCATCCAAATCTCTGGTTTTACACAAACTTCCTGCAGTTACTGAGTTCACTGTTTGGGTTCATTGTTCAGTTTGTAATATAATATGAAATATACATAAAATATATCAGTTAAGCAGTTTAATAAATGATAGAAAAGAAGTCCCAGAATTCCTCTTTAAGGAGGGAAAGTGACGTATAAAAGGCTCCACAAACGTCTGACATTGTGTTTCTGTTGTGTTTTGGTCGCTGATGAAGAGGAGGGAAGCCCTGAGGTGCAGTCTGCCCAACCTGAACTCTGGAGCGAGACCTACCTGTAAGTCCACGTGAGAGGAGACGGGGGTCGGGGGGGTCGGGGGGGCAGATATTTTCTGAATAAATGGTACTGTGTGCTCACTCTCCTCTGTCGGTGTGCGTGTAGCCATCCACAAGTCCCAGCCGTGGTTTCATGGCGGCGTGTCCAGGAAGGAGGCTCAGAGACTGATAGAGAAGCAGGGCCTGGTGGACGGGTGAGTGGAGGAAACTGTGTGCTTCTTAACTGTCCCTGCAGCCCAGTATCCCGAGAGATTACATCCATATTGGAAGATCCTGCACCTTTATGATTTATGTCCATGTGTGCACAGAAAGTGAGTCTGTCACAAACGTTGTTATTGAACGTTTTCTGGGGTTTTGCAGTCAGATAGAAACAATTGTGAGAGAAACATGGTGTTACGGAGGTTAATTGGTGCTAAACAACATGACAGAGCCGATGTGTGCTGCACTCCAGAGGTTTGGTGATTAAAGCCTGACTGAGCTCAACATTTAGGATTTTTTGAGAACTCTAAGAAAACGTGACTGCGGCGCTGGCGAATTATACAAGCGATGACGTGTCTCCGGTTACTCATCGCCCAATCTGACACCCGGAGACGCTGAGCAGTCGGACGCAGACTGAGAGCAGATTGTAACGGAGCCACGTGGCGCAGTGCGAAGGAGCCTGATGGATACGTGTTTCCCTCCGGGGTTAAAGAAATGTTAAAGAGTTGTGTGTCTTTGTGTTGTAGGATGTTCCTCATCCGGGAGAGCCAGCAGCACGCGCAGTGCTTCGTCCTCTCGCTGTGTTACAAGCTGAAGACCAAACACTACCTGGTGATCCCTGTGAGTTCCCGCCAGTCTCTTAACGCAGTGCTTCACAACCCACGTTTTAAAATCACAAACCAAGAATATTTGTGCACAAATGAACGTTTCCTGATCATTTTTCCGGCTGTTTCTGCTTCACGGCTTATTACCATTTTGAAGCGATATGTGTTTGATAACTTCATCATCAGTAAAACACATTTGAAATACTTTATAAAAGAGACTAAATAAATGCATTTAGGTTAACAGACTCTCATTTTCCCCTCACACCAGCACTAATTTGGAGACACCATCTCCTTTGTACAGAAGTCACTTTATAAATGAGGCCGTTGAAGCACATTTAGTAGCAGTTAAAGACGTTTCATTACCTTATCAGCAAAACAATGAACACATTAATGTTAAATACTTTATAAATGAGAGAACAATAAGTGCATTCAGCAGGAGGAAGAAATTCTGCGACCTCATTGAGCTCCGTGTTTATTGAGCGTCCTGACTCTGCTTTTCCTCGTGTCCGCAGTGCGAAGACGGAGGCAGGAAGTACTTCACGATGGACGACGGCGTGACGCTCTTCATAGACCTCCTGCAGCTGGTGGAGTTCCACCAAATCAACAAGGGCATCCTCCCCGTGTGCCTCAAACACCCCTGCGTCTGTGTAGCACTATGAATCCCTTACACTTACCCCCCCCCCCAGTGTGTGTGTGTGTGTGTGTGTGTGTGTGTGTGTGTGTGTGTGTGTGTGTGTGTGTGTGTGTGTGTGTGTGTGTGTGATAATGTTATCAGGGTTGTAAGACGTGGACTCCTGGGAAGTGAAGCATATTGTCCGCCCCTCCTCTCTTTAGTGTTTTTAATTACGCTGACTACACGTGCAGCTCCAGACAGTGGTCGGTTTTTATTTGTAATTAACGAGCTGCCCCACCCCCCCGTAGGAGAATCGGATTAATTAGCCACCGAGTTTTATTGTGGAAAAAAAAGGGGCTTTGATTCTGATCCACGCTGCCGGCGATGAGGGCTGGAGGACGTGCAGGCGTGATGAGGGCAGCAGGGAGGATCTGATTCAGCAGGTCTCAGTGGCGGGCTGCGGCCACCAGGGGGCACTCTGACTCAAAGCTTTCAGCTCTGTAATTTAAAGAGATGAACACTGAAGGTAATTGTGATATTGTAATGATGAAAATACCCCAGGTTGCAATAATGTAGCATGTAAATTCTTGACTGTTTTTGTACAAAAAAACCAAAACAATCTGATGTTAATGACAGTGATGTTTCTCTCTCGCTATATTTGCACAACGATGGTGACGGGGAACAACATCGTCTGCTTTAAACAAACCAAATATCCAAATGACCAAAATAAACCTTTATTCTTTCCAATAAGAAAAAAGCAAAAACTGCTGAGGAAGACTGTAAGATGTGGTTAAAGCTCCGGAAAAAGCTAGTAAGCAGAACTTTTGTGGTAACACTTTATTTTACAGGTGTGTAATTTATAAAAAGAAAATGTCCTAATAACTCTGAAGTTTCCTGAGTGGGTTCAAACTAATTATAGATGTAAAGAGACACTGGAACTTTAATACAAAACACCAATATATCAGAAATAAACTTTTATTTGTGTGTAGACGAAGCAGTTCTAAGAATATTCTTATTTTTCCTCTAATTAATTATCTAATTAAAACTAAATTAAAGGTAATTTGGGAAATGACACACCTCTAAAATAAAGTGTTTATTACTGTTTTTTGTCCTCTGTGGTTGTATAAACATGTTTTCTTTTAAAATTTTGAATATTTGCACTTAACTGTTTTACATTTTCCAGTTCCAGTTCTGAAATGTCAGCACATACACAAATTATTATTCATTCATTCAGTCCAAAGTTTGCGGTTTTCCCTCATTTATTTTTAATCAAACTGGGTTTGTTAGTTTTATTTGCTTTAAATGTTTGTTTTTTGCCCTTTTTGGACCTGTTTTATATGTTTAAATAAATAATTTCATATTCAGTTTGTTTTTGTGTCGTTGACTCCAAAACAAGACGAGAAATATTAAAGAACAAGGAGGAATCATTTTGTGTTGATTGTGGCGTCCCCTGCCAGTGGATGACATTAAGAATATATATAATATAATAATATCCAATCTTCTCACTGGTGGTTTGTTAATGTGGCTCATATAGAAGCTTAAAGTATTAAACTGAGAACAAATGATGTCAAAACACCAACATTTATGTTCCGAATGTGTTTATTTGAATTGAATTTAAAACTGGATTTAACTATTAATAATATAACATTAATAATATAGCATGTCGGTAACAAACGCTCTAAAGGTCAGCTATATTTTAGCGATGGAAAAACTGGTATAGCCATTTTCAAAAGGGATCCCTTGACCTCTGACCTCAGGATTTCTGAATGAAAATGGGCTCTATGGGAACCCACAAATCTCCTCTTTGCAGACACTTTATGCTAATCTCATTCACATTTCTGCATGTGCTATAAAAGTGTTATTGTCTCCGGTGTGTTTGGATATTTCTGCATACTGAGGTTTGAAATTGAGACACAAACTTTCCAACTTTCTGGAAACATTACTTTTAGCTAATTATTTAACCTGCTCACCTGCTAACCAGCTTTCACTCTTCAATAACACCTAAAGTAGCTGAATCAATATTTAAAACTGAGCTCTACCGTCTCTCCTGGTTGGGAGGTAAAGGATCTGAACACTGCTCGCCCAGAAGAGAACGTCCTGCTCCTCCCGATTTAAATTAGATGATTTATAAAACCACTATCAGCCCAAAACTAGACTTAAAAAAAATAAAGAACCTTGGCCCGAGTCCTGACAGACCCATCGGTGGAGCCACATAAAAGGCAGCCTGGAGGTTATTGTGGAGCCCTGGCAGTCTGCACCGATCACAGATCCTCTGCTGGATGGCTCCGAGCTCCGAGGCTTCAGAAGCTAAAGAGCTGATTTCTCCACTGACCTACTCTCTCTCTCTCTCTCTCTCTGTGTGTGTGTGTGTGTGTGTGCACGGTTAAATACCAGTGTGCTCGGCTAACCCTTTCTCCCCGTGGAAGGGGTTGCCATGGCAACAAATTTTTTTGGCCTACATGGTCAGGTAAAGTGAATTACGGGGTAAAAAAAGCGTGGAGACGGGTCAGGAAGGCTTCGGAGGGAGCCGCGCAGTCAGACTGTGAATCCTGTAAAACAACTTAATAACAACAACATTTAATAAAAGAACTCGTTAACGTTAATTAAACACAACAAAATTAATTGTTGAAGTAATATGTCTGTTGTTTTGACTGCAGTAATTTAATTATTGGTGATATAATTCCTCATTTTCTCTAAGTTGACTTTATATCGTCACAAAAATGTAAGCCTCAAAATGAATTAGCTGACAGGTAATGTAATAATTTGCTTTAGTGGAAGAAAACTGAGTAAGTTAATTGTACCAATTTAATTCAGTTAATTGAACTTAAAATGAGTAAGTAAATTACACTCATTTATCCAAAGTTAATTAAAACATGTTTTTATCTGAATAAAGTAATAAAGTAATAAAACCTTTAACTCAGCTTCTTTATACAAATGTTACCAAACATTGTGATAGAATAAATAAAATGCTTAAAAAATATATATATGTTATAGGAAGTGATTTAAAAGTGTTATTTACTCAAATATACTTTAAAAGCGTATTTTGCCAAATTATTTCTTGTTGCATCCAGAACATCTGATAACAGTTTCTCTCGTATTAAAGTGGCAGTTTAATGTTGATGCTACAGTCACATATCATATACTGCTGGATTCAGCTCAATCAGACCTTTCTAACTAACCCTGGTTGGTGTTTGTGGGACAATCCCAGCCAAAGCTACCTTAAAGTAAATTAATACATTCATCATAGAGCCTCATATTTGATATTTCCTCCTGTTGTATGTCTGTGTTTGTGGTCCTGTATTTCCTCAATGCATCAAGATATTCACATTCTGTTTGTTCAGACATGTAGAGGAAGACCTTGTCCACTTCCACACCACATAGGGGATCAATCAGAGCTTGGATTATGAAATTACAGGTCTTTATTTTGCACTTTCTCATCATAATGACTTTTCTTTTCCATAGAAGTGAGTCCCAAACATATAACTTGTATTTTCAATTGGGAGAAATGAAAAAAAAAAAACGATAAACTTTATCTATAAGGGTTCTTTTAATCACCGCCCGGGGGAGTCACCAGGTCAAACACTCCCACAGTTACAGGCAGGTGTGCTCTCAGGGAAGTTCCTGTTTGTCTAAAATGTGTTTTTACTCATTAAAGAGGACAAAGACGAGACATCTGAACGCAAACGGTACGTTTAATTATCTTTTATTTTAAGAGTGTGGAGGATATTGAAGCTGAGGTGTCTGTGTTGGTCATAGATTAATTATTGGTTAGTTAACTGGTTGATCATTAAATCTACTGAGGATGGTTGTATTTATAACTGATAGCTTTAACTAACCATTATTTTCATTAATGAGTGGAAGAAGAGGTCAGATCCTTTAAACTAATAAATTGGTACCAATATTATGGTGTAAAAATACTCCATTGTAGTTTCCTAAAGTGACATCTACAACTACTAAACCAAAATGATTTAATTTACATTATAAAAGAGAATAAATCAGCAACTATTATAATTATTATTATTATTTAGATCAGAACAGATTCACTGTTTGACACTAAAGATTTATTTTACATTCCTCAATCAAAGAGACTGAAACTTCTGTGGTTTCAGCTTCAAACTATAAATATAATGAAGTTTAACTTTGTCTGACCCAACAATAACAGCGTACTCAAGTAATTAAATTCTGGCTAAATGTTCAAAAAAGTCAAAATGTTCTGGTTACAGCTTCTCTAATGTGAATATTTGCTGGTTTCTACATGTAAACTGAACATTTTTGGACTGTTGCTTTGATAAAAAACACATTTTAAGACGCCACTTTGGGCTCTGAGAAACTCCGATGGACATAAAGTAATTACCTGATAATGAGAGTAATTGTTGCACTAGGTGATACCTCTGTGTTCGCTTTATGGTGGAGAGTTTTTGTGACTCTGCAGGAAGGAAAGAGGTGATTAAACCTTCTTAAAGTATCTTTTTATTGGCTGAATAGACTCATTCAACAGGTGTGAATCGTGACCTTGCTCCTCTCTGTGCCTTCTCTGTAGTTTCCTTTCAGAGTAAAGAGACGCAGCTCTCATTGACATGGACTCTCCGGAGACGTTAACCCTTTTATCAGCTGCTCAAGTGTCGAGCAAATTGTAATATTTCTCTGGAAGCAGTGTAAGGGTTCATCTACTGTTGGTGTTGAGCTGCACACTTTCCAACCTGCAGACATCAGAGCACACAAATCTGACCAGTTACATTCAGGACTGATTTCACAGGAACAGCCCAACATACACAGTCTGTACACTTTGGATATTAAAGTTATTAAAGGAGGATAGTGGAGGTCTGGTTCCACAGAAGACTGAAGCTGAAGGGTTTTTGCTGGTGATGGTTTTAGAAATGAACTGATGAGTGTTGAAAGAAGAACCTGTGACAGAGCTGACGGCCATAAACTGACGCAGTCGGAGGCTTAAAACCAGGAAATAAGGCTAATGAAGTTTAGGGTTGATGGCGAGACAAAATCCATAACTTAACTACAACTTATTAAGCTACATATTTAGATGGTGGTACGGTAAGTGACGTCCAGTTTGTTGAGAAGCTAATTGGAGGCAAAGCTGTAGATTAGGTTGCCATAATTAATATCTAATAATATCTAATAATTGGTAAGTACTGGAGTCACACAACTAGTTACTGCAAGTGTGGATATTTAAACAGACTGGACTCGTATTCTGAAACCGGTCAGTGTCTGTATTTCAGTCAGGAGAGACTTGAACACATCGTCATTGTATCTGAAGGTGTTGATCAGTTAAGAAAACCCGCTGATGGAGTCGGTGAAGGGATGAAGAGGATGTCTGAGGACAGAGTTAAAGTTGAACATGATTGGCTGGAGGAAGATTGAATCTGATTGGATTAACTGAAACGCCCATTAGAAAGAGAGAGTGAGTTGATTGAGTTTACCCATCAGGCATTGCTCCAGTTGTTGTCTCTGGTCTGTGGGCCGGCTGTGTCCGACCAAACTGGAACCAGATCGGTTGATTTCCTGCCTTCAACAACAGAATCTTTGGACCAAAAATGTGTCATTGACGGACAGTTGAGCAGCAGATTCCTCTTATAAATCATCTGTGGAGAAAAACGTAAGAATCCAACATGAAAGCACAAATAAAACTTGATTCAGAGGTATTATTATTATTATTATTATTATATTATGCTTATCCGGTCATTTTAAAGACGATGTCCAGCAGAGTCATTGGAGAGAGAAATGTGTCCACTCAGTCTGGAGCTTCATTAAAATAACAAAGCGATTACCTGACCCACTTTTGGGAAGATAATTCGCACTCAAAGATGAAAGTGTCTGTCTGCCCGACTCTAAAAATACAACCGCTCAATTAAAACCAAAGCGGTGACAAACAAAAGGTGTTCGGAGCTCCTTCACAGCAGAAAGCGGGAAAACACCGACTCATTAAAAGACAGTCGGATGGAAGGAAGGAGTGTTTACTGCCGGACTCACAGGATGTTAACAGATTGATGAGTTTTAATGCTTTAATGACGAGGTCTTGTGTGATCCAGCCTGGCTTTATATCGTGAGTCAGCAGGAGATGAAGGTCTGATGCTGTTGTTCAGGTAATTAAACTCATCAAGGTGTGAATTCACTTTAATATGTTGTTGTTTGAAGCACTGTTCAAAGATGCTTTATGTCCATTTAAAAATGTGGTCGGGGTCTGTTTGTAATCTGTTTTATTCTTTATTTTCCTCTCCAAATGTCTGCAGGGATGCAGGCTGAGGATTGTTTTTAATGGGTCATATTAAAGGTCCAGTGTGTAACATTGAGAAAGATCTATTAGCAGAGATGGAATATAATATTAAAAGGTGTGTTTTCATTAGTTTATAATCACCTGAATATAGGAATAGTTTTTATTACCTTAAAGCTGGAGCATTGCTGTTGACCTAAAGTGATTCTTACAACTACTTCATCGTCTAAAATGTTTACATCCGGACCAATGACAGTATATTAGTGTCTTAAACCTACATTCTCTGTAACGGCCAGCAGGGGGCAGCTCCACCATTCAGTCTTATGGAGAAATAATCCGACTTCTCAGTTGATTTATGAGCTCAGTAAACAGTTTCCTGATGAGTTTCTGGTCTCAGTCTCTAGTTTCAGTCTTCTTCCATACAGCATGATGTTCATTTAGTAACTGATGGTCCCATTTAGAGTAAAACAGACCATAAAGCAGGGTATGCTTTAGGGCGGGGCTACCTTGTGATTGACAGTTTTAATAAATATTAATAATCAACATTGTTATTACAGTTGTTGTTTCTTCAGAACACCTTACCTGTGATTATGAGGAAATCATTAGGGTGAAAGAACAGGAAGAACTCCACCATGATTCATTTTTGCTGTAATTTGACACCCACCTGCTGTCCTGGTTTGACCTTTTAGGGGAAGCTAAAAGGCCTCTTTTTATTTCCAGCCCTGACCCTCAGAGAGTCTCTGCACGTCTCTGCTGTCACCTCACTTGAACCGGCGTCCCTCTTTCCTGACATCTGGCAGGATTCAGGGACGCCACATCAGTCTTTTTGAAGTTCTCCTCCACCTGTCTCCTTCCTCTCTGTCTCTGTGTAATTGCCGCCGCCCTGCGTGATGTATGTGGTGTTACTGTACGTTTCGGTAACATCGACTGCACCCAGATTCATTATTCAGCTCCCCCGGCCCGACGCAGCAAGAGAGCAGCTGCTCTGGCTGTCACCGGTCAACCAGGAATCCATGAATCTGTAATCATCCTGTCATCTCTGTCTGTCTCCCTGCCTTTTTCCTCCTCTTTTCCTGCCCTTGCTCTGTATTTATTCCTTCTGTCTCCATCTGTCTTTCTACTGTCTGTTTCTCTGCTTCTTCTGTCATTCACTCAGCCGGTCCACCTGTCACGTCTCAGTCTTCCTTCTCCTACTAGGACAGGCTTTTCTGAACTCCCTAAGTCTTCCTCCCTTCACTGCTCTCCATATTCCACATCTTAAAGGAGTATTTAGAAGTTTTAAACTCTCCCTTCAACCTGCTCACAGCAGCAGAACCATTTTGAAGCCTCGAGTTTGGCGTTATGGTTGTGGGACCATCAGTTACTAAATGAACATCATGCTGTATGGAAGAAGACTGAAACTAGAGACTGAGACCATAAACTCATCAGGAAACTGTCTGAGCTCATAAATCAACTGAGAAGTCGACTCATTTCTCCATAAGACTCAATACTATCGGTTTGTATTGCAGGTTTGAGAATCTTCACAGACCCGGAAGCTCTGTCCTTTATATATACTGTCAGTGAGTGGATCGGACTCGCAGCATCTTTTCAGCCTCATAAAGTTAAAGTTAAAGTCAATGCTAGATGTTCCGTTAAATGACATTATATTTAATGTGAGCAAACGATTCCTTAAAGAGTTTGAACCCTGAGAAGTATGAGGGTAAAACGTATAAAACACAGGTGTTAATTCAGGAAATTAGTTGTAAACTTTCCATCTTTTTCCCCTCACCTATCTCACGTCTCTCTGTGATTGCGTTGCCTCTCTTCAGGCTGTGATTTGTCTCTCGCTGAGCTGCGACTCCCGTGTGTTAATTACCTCACCACCTATGGAAAGGTGCCGAGGACGTCGGCGCACAAATGATGCTCGATGAGTTTCCAGGAGGGAGAAACCAAGGCTGAGCATACATCATACTGATATGTTTTTCTATTACCCACCTGTGGCAAAGGATGTGTGTGTGTGTGTGTGTGTGTGTGTGTGTGTGTGTGTGTGTGTGTGTGTGTGTGTGTGTGCAGCAAAGTGAGGGCGAGTCCCTCAAGGGTAAAGGGAAGACACTCTAGAGCATTATGGCGAGCACGGGGAGCATCCGCGTTCAAGGCCCAGCGAGCGTTATCTTTAATTTATCGCTATGTTTTATTTAGCAGCCAGTCAATTCAGGCCACCGAGCAACAAACAAGGTTAGTGTGCAGCGTCCGTTGTGTTTGCAGAGCTGAACTCACTTTGTTTTTCATTCATTTTACCAGGATAGTTCGTCTCTTTAATCCTGTTTGGTGGCAAGAACCTGGCGAATGTAAAGATAGAGTTACATCACAATACAAATATGCGTGAGATGAAAAATGAATCATGATATCAAGGCGCAAAGGAAGTATGCATTGTTTCCCTTCAAAATAAAAAGGATTCTTTAATTTGATAAAGAAATATAATAAAATAAAATAATCTTTTTCAGTTATAATTTCTCTTCAATCCAAATCGTATCGTGACTTGATATTCAGTGTATTGTGATGTATTGGGATACTGTAAGGAAGGCAATATGTTTTAAATATTAGTTTTAGGACAAACTTTCATTGAACAAAGAACACACCACCATAAAATTACACGTCACAACGTACAACTTCAACCTCAACAATCAGACTGAAGACAGTTGATTGAGTCTCGTTCCAAGAGCGTCAAATATCGATCAAAACTCCTCGGCCCTGATTGGCTGTTTTTTCAAGAGCACTAAGACAAACCAGGAGAACCACAGAAAGTCTCCTGTGGTAGATATTATTGGCTATTTTTACAGTCATGGAAACACCTGGAATTTGGTTAAAATGACCAAATATTCTGAAAATAATCTACGTTGTCCTGGAAAATGTTTAAATATTTAATCCCCTGCGCTCAGATCGCCTACGTATTTAGTTTGAAACTCGACTGTTGGCAGTACAACGCTTCAAAGCAGGGTCGGGTCTATTTTTACTGGAGTTTATATATAAGATATATAATATAATATTCATGTATATAAAGCAAAAAGGTTTGTAGTTTTTACAGTATTGATGTTTTGCCATTCATTTTATTTTTATTTATTCTTTATTTTCTCAGTGTTCATTTCTGGAATTGGTTGACAGTGTAACCTATATGTTAAATTATTTAACATCTTAAAGAATATTTAATTTAAATATTCTTTAATGAAGTTGTTTGTTCAAGAAAGCAGCCTTCTTTGCAGAGTCACAGTTCACAATATATTGGTTTATTAATTCCTCTGAGATCAGTATCGGTCTTAAAACAACCTGTATTGCTCTATAATGTAATACTGTCAGGATATAATGACAGTTTCAACAAATGTACTTAAAGTTACTTAATGCGGCTTTAAACAAAAGTGTTTTTATCGATTTTTCACAAAACAAATCTCACAATTTTTTATATTTTCTTTTACATCCTCATTATTCTTATTATTCTTATTATTATTGTGTGGTAGCCAGATAACATTTCCCTACTCCGCTACCTGGAGATGCTATTATCAGGTGTCATAGTGTGCATGACATACAGCACCTCTGACCCTGAACACACACACACGCACACACACACACACACACACTCTGTCTCATTAATTCATGGCCTTCAACACAGGATTGAATTACAGCCGGTGCGAGTGCAGAATTTACTTTGACAATATCCTTTGTTGTGGAGGACACACACACCTACACACACACACACACACAAAGATCAGCTTCGTCTGCAGTGTTGCATCACACACACACACACACACACACACACACACACACACACACACAGCACCGCTCATGATCTCAGTGTTTGCTCTTCCACACTTTTGCTGGCTACTATTCATAATTCATTGCTGCCATTAATTCGTCTGTCAGAGAAACATCTGCATTCACTTTTTCTGGATTCCTTTTCATCCTTCAATCGATCAATTGCTTCCTCTCCTCTGCTGCACACACACACACACAAGAGAGAGAGAGAGAGAGAGAGAGAGAGAGAGAGAGAGTGTCAAGGCCCACTTTGCAATATTGAATTACTGATAACACACCACAGTGTATTCCCACAGACACATGTGAGCTCGTGATTAAAATCCAATGCGTATAATGACGGCGCTCAGATCAAAGGCAGCAGCAGCAGCAGCAGCGGAGGATGCAGGCCCTTTAAGAGAGGCAGGATGGGGAGGGCTCTGCATCCATAAAACATGAGTTTATTCAGTGGCCATGCGAAGACATGGTTAGGAGCGCCTCTGCACTCCAGCGTGCTCTCATACCCATCGCAGGCAGAGCCAAACGCTTCACACACACACATGCTGACACAGCTCTGCCAGGAGCCGAAACATGGAGAGGAGAAAGGGATAAAAAAAACACAGGAGCTGGAGGGGAAGACGGGAAGCAAAGAGAAACAACAGTAGAAGAAGGAAGCAGCAGAGTGAATGGAGAAGAAAGAAAAAAGGCATAAAGAAGATCAGAAAGTGACGGCGCGATAGAGGACAGTAAACAGGTGCATCGAGGCGGAGAATGGGCAATTCCTCCTTCCCAGGCATGTCCCCTCTCTCTCTGTAGTTGCAGGTATTTTCTAACTTGAGTGCCCTTCTCTGACGCGCTGGGGGTGCTGGGAAACTACCGCTGTTTACCTCTACGCTCCTCTTCAGTGTGATGCTGTCTTGTGTCTCTGCCCTGCATGCTCCTCGAAGATGCATCTGATGTCACTTTGCAGAGTTGAATCTGTGGGTTAAAAATCTGAATATGATGTTAAAATCTGTGAGTTGGAAGGGAAGTTTCTCTGATTGTGGTTTGATTTGAGGTGGATCCTGGTTGAATGATCAGTTTGAAGTGTTACAGCTGGTTTTAAAAGACATGAGAAGAGTGTTTTTTAGTGCAGATATTGAGAGTCTGGGAGGTTTTGGGAGGACTGGGGGTGTGAGAGCGTCTGGCGCTGCCGGTTGCGTCTGGCAGCAGCTCCTGTTTACTGCCTCTGTGGATGGGAGACTGTTGATGCTCTGCCTCTCTGTGGTTGGCATCTGGGGCAGCATGAAAGAGGGCTATTGATGGATGCACAGACAGAGGCTGCTGTTGGTCAGAGGGATGGAAAGAGTGATGCAGACACTGCTGCTGGTTTGTAGCTTATTTTCTGGATGTTAATGCAGCGATTTTAAAGATACACGAGATAAACAATCATCTCCACTTGCTGAGCGTTAGGAGAATCTGCATTGTGGACATATTTAAATGGGCATCAGTCTTATTTTTTAAATATTAAAGTGGGTGAAACGTTTAGGTTTGTCCTCTTTTTAAATCATTACATTTGAGTCACAGAGGATCCATTTTTCTAACAGATCCCCGACTAAAAATCTATAATCTGATCAGTTGGGCTGCCCCCGAAGATTTTTTGGACTAGCAGTCGTTAGATAAAGCCAATAGCCGACAAGTCGTTACACATTTACGATATTAATTTAATTATTTAAATATATTTAACCAGCAAGGAGACTGAACATTTATAATAACGTCACACAGTCTGGTTGTTCAACACACGGAATAAATAACTCCCAACTTCACTGAAACCGATCCTGGCAGACTGATCGATACGATGGATGATGGATAACGTTAATAACAGTTACTGACTAATTAACTGGCTACAAACCGGCTCCTCTTCCTCCGTTTCATTCCTCTCCTGTCGCTGCCTGAACCAGTTGAGACTTCATCCCCAGAGTCAGAGTCCTGGTCGGAGCCGCTGGGAATCAGCCGGACTCCGTTGGTCCCCCCCGCCCCCCGACAGTATTCCCCCGCTGGGTCCCTCTGCTCCAATGTTAGTAGTGTTTAAACTCCCAGTCCAGGTACAGAGAGCTAATAGGACTGCAGTTGTTTTTGTGTTTCTGCGACTACCCAACTAATAAAGTGTGTCGACTGTTAGGGGGGCAGCACTATTGATCAGTTAATTCACTACAAGATGGTCAGCAATTAATCTGCAGTTACAATCCTGTAAACTCAGTCAGGTGTGAATAAAGGAGGCTGTTATCTGCAAACTAAACTGATCATGAGATGAGTCAACATTGGGGGCCTTTACCACTTCAACAGTTTCTCAGGGGAAACCTCAATGTTACTATTAGGGCTTCCCCCGACTAAAGATTTGTCTAGTCGTTACTTAAAGCCAATAATCAAGTGTTTGTCGAACGTTTATGATTTTAATTTAATTATTTAAATATATGGATTTTAACAGACCCGGTGACGAGGCGCATCGAAAATGCGTCGATTAGCAGTTTACTCGACTATTAGTGAGCAGCACTAGTTACTATTTATGTCACAGTTTATGGGATTGTTGTAACTCATCATAGTTTATGTAGCCAGGTGTCATCTCTCCTACTTTATTATTGAGAAGAACTTTATATTGTTATTTTTTATTTTGTGGATGTTGAAATAACTAATTCTAATTTCTGGTTCGATTCTGACTGAACTAGAGAAATATTCTGTGTCCAGAAGGGAGGCACGGAGACTTTAAGGGGTGGCTAGAATATAATAACAATATGATGATGATTTAACAATCACATAAGTCAATATTTTCTCGGAAAATACCCTGAATGAAGATATTTGAACTAAAAAATTGTGACCATCTTGAGCCGCTGTGTTTCTACAGTAGCCCAGATAGGCAGATAAGTCCTTTAGTGTTTGTCGTGAGTTTCTCCGACACACTTCACAGCCTGTTCTCACTCCCAGGTTGTCAAATACAGACGCAAGCGGAGTTCAGTTAGTTGCAATCTGCTACTTCACCACTAGATGCCACTAAATCACACATACTGGTCCTTTAAAACTTGGAAAATGGGTCGTTTTTTTATGGCGCTTACGAAGATGTGAAGAGTTCCTCTAAAACCGGGAGTCATTACAACCTTCTGGTGTTTCAGAGATCACCAGGTATTTATCTTATCAGTGTATATGAGAGGCACAAACTGACGCTGCTGCAGACTTCTCTGAGTGTAGGCTGGCAGAGAGCAAAATGGAGGTCTTCTCTATCTTTAATCAGTATTGATTTACATGATACCCTCCTCTCTTCGCCCTCCAGCACACTCTCGCTGCACAAATCTGTGTCAGAGCAAGAAAAAGACTCGAGTCCCTTGAACATTTCGGGAGATAGGATTGGAGAAAAAGCACCAGCTATCTTAAAATTAAACTGTGGTTCGATATGAGGCCTGTCACATTCTGCATGCTGTCTCACTTTGGAAATCGCTGAGAGGATTAAATCTGAACAGAGCGTTTTGAAACCGAGACTATACGGTCGTCCTTGAACATCTCAAACTTATCTCTTTGTGCCGAATGACTGTGTGAGTCATGTCACCTCAATGACATGCCAGAGCCCTCCCCAGCTCCCCAGGAGGGTTTGAGGAGGGTGGGTTGGTGGTGGTGGTGGGTAGCAGATCAAGCGTGTTGAAATCATAAGTGACTGGGGAGCAAAAGAGAAGGAGAAGAGACGGCGTGGAGGATCTGTTAGGGAGCCGAGGAGCGGCAGCCAAGCAGCAGTTTTCCCATGTCAGCCTGATCAAACTTGTTGACATCTGGAAGGAGATGGAGGAGAGACAGAGAAAGGGAGGAAGAGATGAAGGGCAAAGGGAGGAAGCTGCCGAGCAGAGGCTGCCGACATCACAGGGCTGATTGATGCGGTTGCCACCAGGTGAGGGCGAGCCGACTATAATATTGACTCAGGGATGTCTTTCTCTCCCGAGAGCCGCTTTCTCTGACATTTAGAGACTCTCTTGCTGTTTCATCCTTGATGTCGCTTCCTTTGACTTCTTTTATGAGTCAAAACAACATTTTTGAGAAATTTGGGTTTCACACGCTGAGACTGCAGAAAGCAGCTCTCGACACCGGAGGCTTCATCAGTTCGCTAGAATGAGAAAGAAAAGATTTGTCTGAAAGTTTAATCTGTTTCTCGAACCGTCTCTGACACACGAAGGTACCTGCTGACTCAACCTTTTTAATAATGATCAATTATTAATTAATTATTAATTATTGAATCATTTCATCTATAAAATGTCCCAGTTAAGTTCAGATAGATTGATTAATGTAACTTTGTGAAATATTTTTTAAGTGTTTTGAGACATTACTTGTGTACATGATTAATACGTTATCAATAGTCATTGATTTTCAATCAGCCAACTAATTGTTCTGCCAGAATCACCAGTTGTAGAAGAAATACTCAGATCACAGTAAAAATAAGTTCAGCTTTTAAAAATACAAAAGTTTTAGTATCAAAAGTACCAAAAGTAAAAGTACTTATGTTTATTGGTGCATTAATGTAGCTGTAATATAATTAATGTTACAGCCGGTAAATGTGGGGCTCTTTTAAACTACTTTATGTACTGTTAGCTTAACCTGTAATAATATATCATAATTTATTTATGTATTTATTGTTTATTAATAATCTTTAGAGTAATTAAAGTAAATAAGTAACTAAAACTGTAAAATAAATGTTATGGAGTAGAAGTATAAAGTAGCATAAAATGTAGATGCTCAAGTAAAGTACCTCAAAATTGTACTTAAGTACTTCAGTAAATATACTTAATGTATGTTTTACCTCTGATTACCTCTCCGTTGTCCCTGGGGTCGGAGTCCTGGTTGGAGCCGCTGTAACACGAAGGAAAAGTGGGTCGACTAACTCCCAAATTCCAACCTGTCCGTTATAGACGATGCTCGAATTTCTACCAGAAGTGTTGCGGCTCCGCTTAGAATATGAGGCTGGTCTGTTTTTGACAGAATTCGTGACCCATTCGCGTCAAGCAGCACAGACAATCCTGTCAGCTTTCAAAATAAAACACCTTGGCAGATCAAATTTTGATGCTACATCAACATTGTGGCACCAGACCAGAAGTCAGTCAGTCAGAGGAGATTTAAAGTGGAGAAACACCATTGTGTTAATGTTTAAGGATAAAATACACAAGTAAACAATGTCGGGCAGCACGCTCTGAACAAGCTTCTTCTCGTCCATTCACAGTTTAGTCGACTATTATGGGACAGATACTGTACGTTTGTTGTTGGGCATCAATCAAACTGCGACTTGTCCATTAAACTTCACAAAAACAAAAGGCTAAATAAACATCTAGATTCTTTCTTTTCCAAGCTCTCTCTCTCTCTGTAGCTGTTTCATCTGTTTGTCTCCAGTTGTCATTGTGCAGTTGTGACTCTCAACGTCTTCATAAAGTATAGATTCTCCTGTGTGAAGGGGGTGTAATGACTCCTGAGGCGAGTGCAGGCTGAGAGCAGCACCTGTGGAGCCGGCAGAGATTCAGTTTCTTGCTCACTGCTCATTACTTTTGCAAATACTGCTCACATGTGATGACACGTAGCTTATTCCGTTGATATAAAATAAGTCCGACGGTGTTGTCGTGGAGGACTTCAAGGGGCACTTTGTAGCTGCAGCTTCAGGCTGAGATCTGAGGATAAAGAGAAGATTTTTAGTGTCTAATTAAGCAACCTTGGCCTTTCCTTTCACAGAAAGCACTGAAACATTGACGACACACCGCAGCGGAGAGTTATTAACAATAAATCTCAGTTAATTTGGCGCCCTCGGCTCGGTAAAGCTGACC